GCAAGATAACGTGCCACCTGTCATTTAACTGACGGAAGGACCATTTTGGTACCAAAAATGAAAATTCAAGGATAATTTTGGTACTTTTTAAAGATAAGGGACAATTTTGGTACCAAAGTGGATAGTTGAGGGACCAAAATGGTACTTAAACCAAAAAAAAAAGAAGGAAGAAGATGGGTCGAACTTTGGGTTCCCTTGAACCCAAATGATTGGGTTCAAGGGACCCAACAATAGAGGAAAAAGAGGAAGAAAGAAGAAAAAAAAAAAGAAAGTAAGAAGATGGGTCTAACTTTTTTATTTTTTTATTAAAAATATAAATTATAAACAAATTTAGTTTATGAGTTGGCATTACACGTCATCAAAAAAAATTCCAAATCAGCACTTTTTAATGTTATTTTCGCCATGTCATAAAAAAAAAATAAAAAATGCCATGTGACGGAGTTAATAGTCTAAATTGACAGAAGGACTAATGATGTGCATTTGTTAGAGTTGAGGATCAAAAAAATGTAAAAAATTGTTGAGGGATCAAAAATATTCATTTCTTAAAGTTGAGGGACCAAATTTAGCATTTAACCAAAAAATAAATAAATTGCGTAGAAATCCAATTGTCGTGGTAACAGAAAATCGAACCGCCCGGCCGTTGATAATAGAAGGCCAGAGAAGCTCTGAAGCCGCTGTCTCGCCACCGGCAAAACAACTCCGGCGACAGATTTCCGGCGCTGAACCACCCTGACCCTAATTGCGGGGAACAACGAAGCGAGAATGGCGTCACTGACTTTGCCGTCTTCTTCACAAGCGTCGTCGTTTCTGTCTTCATCTTCTTCGTCTCTCTTCGCCCGCTGCGCCCTCAGCCGCCTAAGCTTGGGCTTTAACGAGTCTCGTTCTCGTATCTGCGCTGCAAACTGCATCGTAACACTCTTCCTTTTTATTATCATATTCTGAATTTTTCATTGCGGTTCTGAAGATTTGTTTTTTTTCCTTGGTTTTGTCAAGTTTTCTGCTTTTCTATTTCATTTCTTAATTTTTTTTGTTTATCATGTGGACAGTGATTGTGGGGATATAATGAAATCAACTAGGAAATTGGATGTTAATTTAATTAAAAAGCTAGAGTTTTGCTTTGTTTAGCTGCTGTGCATCTATGGCTAAGTAAATTTTGTAAATTTTTGCTGATATAGTTTATTTATTGGTCTAGAAATGTGACATGCCTGATTCGTTGGGTTTCGGAAATGGGAATCCAACCATTCCAGTCCTTAATGAAACGACACTGCCTAAGTTCTTGGAATCAGCTCAAATGAAGAAAAATGTTAACAGGAATGGCGCCAAGCTGAAATTGTTCTCTGGCACAGCAAATTCTGCACTTTCTCAGGTAATTGATTTACCATTTAGCATTTTAGTTTCGTTAACATCATTATGGCTCTTTACTTGTATTTTATTTGACACTAATCGAACTTTGTTATCATACTTGGATCTTGTCTTTGTTCTTCTGTTTATTTGTGACTAGGAAATTGCTTGGAACATGGGCCTGGAGCTGGGAAAGATCAACATAAAGCGATTTGCTGATGGGGAAATTTATGTTCAGCTGCAAGAGAGTGTTAGAGGATGTGATGTATTTTTAGTGCAGCCCACCTGCCCTGCAGCAAATGAGAATCTCATGGAGCTTCTCATCATGATAGATGCTTGTCGGAGAGCATCAGCCAAAAACATCACTGCTGTCATTCCATACTTCGGATATGCCAGAGCTGATAGAAAGGCAAGTTTACATGCTTTACATGTGATTGCATTTTGTGGGAGAAAGTATGAGTATATGTTGGGATCTCAGAACTAGGTTGGTAACTGAATAAATTGAACCTCACTTCTTTGCTATTCATAACTTCTGCATCAGTTTGATTTTTATGGTATAATATATAAGAACTTCTGTTTGAAAGACCATGTGTTAATGAGCAAATAATGATAGTTAGGACCACATTTTGGGACAAATGTATTGTGGGCCCCGTATGGACCCACATAATCAACTGCTGAAAAAATTTCATCATAAAATTTCCCCTCAAGTATCTTTTCTCATAAATGAGCTTTGTCCTTATCTGAGGTTTCATTTCAGTGAGGGAATGAACTATTTGAAGCTTTAGAATCATATTGCATTCTGTATATGATGCTTGGCTGTTGTCTACTTCTTATATAAGTTTTTTTTCTTCAGACGCAAGGACGGGAATCCATAGCAGCCAAACTTGTTGCAAATCTTATCACAGAAGCTGGTGCTAACCGTGTTCTGGCTTGTGATCTCCATTCTGGGCAGTCCATGGGTTACTTCGATATTCCAGTTGACCATGTTTATTGTCAGGTAGTTGTCCATACACTCCTAATTGTTGAATCTTGTGATTATTGATCACTTATTCTTTTATCATTGTTTTGGGTGCTGTAGTCTGTGATTCTTGATTATCTTGCTGGCAAGAGAATCAGTTCTAGTGACTTGGTGGTGGTTTCACCTGATGTTGGTGGAGTTGCTAGGGCCCGTGCCTTTGCAAAGAAATTATCTGATGCACCTTTAGCCATTGTGGACAAAAGGCGTCAAGGACACAATGTTGCTGAGGTAATTTCTGCTCTACAACTTGGTTTATATTTATTATATTGTCCTTTATTATTTCATTCATGTATTTCACCCATCCTTGTACTGGCATTACTGATTATTACAAATTTTCAAACCCAATCACATAATACCTCCCTCTCCTGAAATATGGTTTCTGCTTATATTCATTCTAATTCATGTTTCAGCACTTCCTTATTCTCCTTTAGTTTTCAATCTCAGTGCCCAAACTGGCAACTGCCAACAGCTCTCCACCACTTTTCTTTTTAATGTACCCCAACATTAATCCATGATCTGTTTCATCAAATGGGAATTGCAAATGCCTTTTAACAATTAGTTTAAAGTCGGTTTCTTTGACTTGGTCTCCTGGCCAATAATATTTTGGGCATGATACTGATGAATAAATGTTCCGATTGACCCTGAAGCATGGTGAACGTATGACCAAGTTTTTCCCAAAATAGAATGAAACAACCACATTCTTATAGATGTGTAGATTCTTTCCATTTTGTATGGGTACTGATTTAATTCTAGGCTGTATGTGTTATTACTTTCTTTTTATCATCAAGTCCATGCCTATATTTTTTTTGTAGGTGATGAACCTTATTGGTGATGTAAAGGGAAAGGTTGCTGTCATGGTGGATGACATGATTGACACAGCTGGTAAGTTAACACAAATGAAATGCTCCAAGCACAAACCTGTTATCATCTTTTTTAAATGCACATTCAGCACAATCATTAGAGTAAATTTCTCTGTGCTGCTTTGAATTGTGTTTCTTGTAATGTTGGCTTTCATTGAAATCAATTGTGTTCAGTGGTAAACTTTAATTGGTTTATAGGGACAATTGTGAAAGGAGCAGCACTTTTACACCAAGAAGGGGCGAAAGAAGTTTATGCATGCTGCACTCACGCAGTTTTTAGGTATCAACTTATCTAAATAGAGATTCAAACTTCATTATCTAATTCTATTTTGATGCCAAAAAAAATATTTGCCAAATATTGCTGTTTCTTTCATGTTGAAAGCCCATTATCCAGTCATAGTCTTTGCATCGGGGAGGGATTTGCCAGTCATAGTCTCATTGTTGTGGGTACTGAAGGAGTTGTCAAGCAACAAAGTATTATTCATTGACATGCCACAATTGAAAAATGTAAACAGTATAGTAATCATCTAAGATGGTACTTAAAATCCAAAGTTATTTCAATTTCTCACCGGATCTTTGGCTCTGCATTTGTAGGATAGCACTTATTACCTTAATTTTAGGCAATGTTGCAGAGGCGATGGTGGGTGTTGGGCACCTAAGCACTCCTAGGAGCCCTTTTTTTTTTGGGGGGGCAAAAAATGCCAAAATTATTATTATTTTAAAAAAAAAGAGTAAAAAGTAAAAGAACCACCTGGTGCGCTTTTTGCAACACTAATCTTAGGCTCATATAAATAGGTAAAATAAAATAAGATGGTACTTGCTGATTTTTACCTGTCCATTTGTATGATCTCGTTCTGTTCTTTTATCTCAACAGCCCTCCAGCAATAGAGAGGTTATCAGGTGGCCTTTTCCAGGAAGTGATCATTACAAACACATTACCAGTATCAGAGAATAACTATTTCCCACAGCTGACAGTTCTTTCAGTAGCAAACCTTCTTGGTGAAACCATATGGCGTGTTCATGATGATTCTTCTGTAACTAGCATTTTCCAGTGAAATCATATAGGAAATTTCAGTAAGCTATCTGCTTCAAATCTAACCACATGCAGTTTTACACCTCAACTGAAGTGGCTGGCTATAGCTCTGGTTGGTCATTAGCTTCGATTCTAAGAAGTTCTACGATGGGAGTTGTTGGAGGGATACCGATAAATTTTTGTTATTGATAAATTTTTTTTTTTTAATTATTCAGCCTTGATAATGTGACATTTTCTTTATAATATATGAATGCATTTCTTGCAGTTATATTTTGAATCAATTTGTGTGCTGCTATATCATCTCAACTCTCCCCTGTTGGCACCAAGCCTCATAGGTCAATTATTAGGTGCACCAAATGCCTTAGTAATGATCAAGGTTTGAAGCATGGCAATGTAATGTTATTCCCCATCCCCCTACCTCCTAAATTGTACATGTTCAGAAAAAAAAAAAAAAAAGGACCTCCCCTTTTGACACTAGCGACTCTTGTTGGGTTGACAATGTGCATCAAATACCTTAGTCTATGCCAAGGTTCAAGTTCCTATTGGAACAATTGTAATATTTCTCCATTTTCCCCAAAATTTTCCCTGGTTCAAAAACTCTCCCCTGTTGACATTTAATTTCCATTTCCCTTGCTGCCCCTCCCATAGTTTGGAAGCAACATAAGAGAAAACCTCTCCCATTCTTTCCAATTTTAACATGTAAGAAATATAACATGCATGATCTACCACATAAAACATCTCAATTCTCCACTGTTGACATTTTCCTCTCCACTGTTGGCATTTTCTTTTCATTTACCTTGCATTTTTTTTTTTGGG